CTTGTATTCTCTTGGGAGAGTAGGAGGATAATGCAAACATTGTGATGTTGTCTAGAGAGAGCCTTTAATGAAAATGCCTCAGGTGGTGCAGTTTTTATTAAAGCACTACCTTCCAGTTTTATAAAACAACCCACAGGCTTTGTTGGAAATTCATGTAAGATAAATTCTCCAAGACTTAACCCATCTTGTCAAGTTTGCTAAATTTGCTAACGGTGGGGAGGGGAAAGTAAGGCATCGTTCCCCACCTCCTGGTTCTCCACAACAACAATCTGATTAGGACTTTCATTACCAGTCAGAAATTTTTCAGAGGGGCATCATTTGCCATTATCATATGAAAGCCTAATGTTATAGATCCTTATCCAGGGTTACAAGAAGGGAGTTTTGAACCACTTCTCCCTATGATTCCTGCCACTTGACGAAAAAATTTAATACAAAGCTCACAGCACGATGAGCAGAAGTAATTTAGCAATGAGTGGTTGTCCGTGCTATTATCTGTACTTTATTCTGAGTATTTTCTCTCACTAGCATCTATCTGATATTAGGCTGCATTAAATACTGGCATGACACAGTGCACCTGGGCCTCTTGGCTTATGCCCAGGCCCCTTCTGTCAGTGAAACTGAGCTGTTGGAATATTATCTGATTTCAAGAGGTTATTACAGTGGTTTTGTGCATGTTTGCTTCTGTGAAAGGACAACACAAGGTGTAAATCCCAAAACTGTATCAGAAATGTTACGTTTCTGAGACCCTTGTAATGGCATTTTGCAAGATTTTATGGACAATTTATCGGCTTTTATTCTCTTGAAGAGAATGCACTTAACTGAATAATTGGCTAAGCATCAAACCTCAGTACAAACACAACAGCTAGGACACCAGAAATAAAATCTGAACAGGAGTTTTATGTGGCCATTTTCTTCTAACACAGGAGTAAATAAGAGGTGGAGCTGTATTTGATGACGGGTTTTTGTGCAAGTAATTGTACAAAGTTAAATCACAGAGCATTGTGATTAGATATTGCAATAGATTTGACAATCATGATCAATATTTCTTTTGTGTTATATAGCACCTGCTTACTTCAGTGTATTTTCTAATTAAGTAAGAATTTCCGCTAACCTGTTCAGTGTGCAATACAGAGTGGCCATTCAGGGAACAGCAAATTATGGCTTTAATTTCTGCAGAACTAATAAAACCCAGTTCAAAGGTTGAAGGGCTTGTTTGGTTTTGATTTTTTTATTATTATTTTTTTCCCCTCAGTCCATTTACATAAGCATATTTAGAATCGTACTGAAGATTCTAACCATTCATTTTAATAGCCACATCTAATGTGTTGTCCCTTTAGAATTATCTATAAAATAACATCTAGTAATTGTTTTTCTTAAGTGGAGAAAAGTGATACGGAGACATGAATGAAACATTTAAGCACAACTGACCTTTCCAAGATATACTTAGGTTTTTCTATTGGCTTGATGTCACACTGTTACTTATCTTTTTTATAAAGGAGTGCCTGATAAAAAGATTTTTTTTTTTCCCCCCTCATAGTGGGTGAACATGTGTGTGTTTGTAGCAAAGCAGATATTCTGAACTTAAGCATTTATTGGTGGCTAGAAGCATTGAATAAATCCTAAAAGAGAAAAATACATTGCTTCATTACTTTCTCAGCCTTTAAAATGGAATTTACTTTCACATATAAAGAATTTTCTACTGTTCCCAAATTACCTGAATTAGTATTTGCTAGCAGTTTCATGAAATACCAGTGTCATGAAGAATTTACACGATTGGTTGACAGAAAGGATATATAAATAAATAAAGAAAGTCTTTGCATGAATGGTTGAAAATGCCAAGACTACTAGCAGCAGCAATATATGTAAGTCTTAAATTCTGTAATTTTTTTTCTTTATACAGCAAGATTTGTGAAAGAGACTGGTATTTCTGAAAGTGTGTTTGTTATTAATGTAGCAGTAAAAGGTCTACTACTACATTTTTTTTAAATAAGGGAGAGCACGCTTTGATCTACTGTGCATTGTATAAGTAGTACCAATTTTGTATTTTCTGCTAGCATTAGTTCAAATCAGTTTCTTCTTTATGTGGAATGGGATTTCAGTTCAGTTGTTCTATTCCTTGACAGTCATCCAGGCAGTGAAATGTGCTCCATATTTGTTGCTAAAATCTTTGCTCAGTAGGTGGTAAGGATTGAAATGTATGAATTTTTAATTGCTGTTCATCTAGCCTTTTAGAGAGTGAACTACTAAGTGCATTACAAGAACCAACTAACAGATGTATCCTCCTTCTCAACCTTGCCTGACCTACTTACATATTTAAGAAACCAAATTTTAAAAGAATATTTTTGTCTTTTCTAAAATTATATATATGAATGTCTCTTCTGAACTGTCTTGAATTGATTTATTAGTAGTTACAAGCCCTCAGAATTGTAAGCATTTAGATAAAAAGATACAAGTACTTGTCATTGCTTCGATTCAGTAGGTCTTTCAATAGAAATTAGGCCATTGACATTTCACACAAGATTTTAAATCCTGATTCTTTTTTAAATCTCTGAGTGACAAAGGAAAAAATGCTAACATTTTCACAACTAACTGGTTGAGACTGTAACTGAGTTATTTAGCTGTGTTACCAATGACATGACGTTAGGGCAGCTGAATTTCTCACAAAAGGCAATTGAATATCTGCCAAATATTTCCTTGGGTTTTCACTTTACAATGTTAAGCCATTATGCATGCTGGCTGGCATCATCTGTACTTTTGTCTCCCTCTGCCTGTGCAGTGCAAATGAATGTATTCTGCACAAATTTCAGCAAGGTAAAAAAAAAAGTAGGAATGCTATCTTACCTCTGCTAAAAATCAGCTTGTTATTGAATGATAATAATTTTCAGATACCTGCTCTCTTTGCAGTCCTTACTTCTGATTCCATTGTGAGATATTTTGTAAATGTTCATTTTGTTACTGAAGGAGTTTTTGTGGAGTGAAAATTTTGTTGATAAAAGCATTATGTAAATACACATACAGGCAAAAAAACCCCTACAACCCAACAAACCACTGCTTTTATACGTCATATTGGGTTTTGCTGTATCTATTTATTCATCCAGTTATTATGTACAGTTTGAGCCATGTTTCTTGAAAGATAAAGCATGAAAATAAATAGTAGCTGAGGTTATTAAGTATCTAGGAATCTTAAATGATCTTAAAGCTTTACTAAGTCAGGAACGATCTTGAGTTTTGCATGCCCGCATAAATATGCAATAGAAACAAAATCACTCTGTAGCTTCTCCAATGTTGCACACAATCTGTAACTGCTGTTTTCTTCAGGGTATGGCTGTAGAAACCTACACCCCAATAGAGCTTAAAAGAGAGAGTTGCCTAATAAGGCCTACTTCCCTCATTTGTCACTACTTACAGTTCATCTTTTTGTGCTTATTTGTGGTTTCTCCACTTCAGTGCCAAACTAATTTAGCAGATTATTTTTCCCCACTGGTTCTTTGCTTATCCCATGATTCCTGTATATGTTCTCGTTTAGAAAATTATCATCGCTCCTTTCAAAAGACATATATGGAAGGTTTCCTCTGTAGACCGTGCTATGAAATGGCATCCATTAGTTGTTTTAGCTACGTGGGAAGTGTACAACAGTAGTACATAGACATGAATGAAACGTGAGCACAGCTGACCTTTAACAAATACTTCTGAGTGCTTTATATTGGCTTGATGTTGCTTTGTGATTTATTTTTTATTCCTTACAATGGAAGCTGCCATTTTCCTTTTAATAAGAAGTGTGCCAGTTTGTACTCAAGGAGGCAGATTGAATCTGGATTTTCTCTGTGATCTGAGCTGTTAAAATAAATACCACAGGGGTGTAATAGTGTTGACCTCTGAAAAGTTTTGTGGTTTTTTTTTTTTTCCTCTGTAAAGGATTCTTCTCAGCGAGGAGTACTGTGTTATAATGAAGATTTTTATAGTTTCCCTGCAGGCTGCAAAAATGTTCTTGAAAGAGAATATCACTTTTCTTTAGTTATTACTGTACCACAGAGCTACTGCCGTTTTACGAAACTTTTTATATCAATGTATCTTTCCATAGTCAAGACTTAACACCACTTTGTTCATTGGCCTGTGTAGCTGCATAGGATTCTTGAATAAAGTAGTATGTTCCAAGCTGTATTTTATAAGCTACAGGAAAGATATTGTTCCTTCCCTTTGGTATTCAGCCAGTGCATTGCTGTGCCACAACTGTTGTAGACTGGCTCCAAGGGTGACTAAAAAGGCTTGGTACCTACAATCCCTTTACATCAGCAGGCTCAACAGAAGGGCTGTTCAGTGCTCTGATAATAGAGACAGTGAGCGGGGAATGTGAGACACAATATATTTATTGCATGAACAACTGTGGTTCCAGAAGCCTACACTTCTGAGTTTGAGTATCTTCATCCACTTCTGATTCGGTATGTCCTTTTCTGGGAGAAGACCTGTGAGAAGGATGTTTTGCAGAGAAAGGAAAATATTGTTTGAATCTCTTCAGGCTAATGAAGAGTTTTTCTTATTTTTTTAAATCTTGACCAAGTTCTATAATCACTGAAAGTGTTCTGCAAAAGGTGGGAACCATCACCATCTCCAGCATTGCTTCTGAAGAACAGTTATTGTGCTAGATAAGCTTTGGGCTGGATCTGACGTGGTCTGATGCACTGGGCTTTCAAGGAACATATCACATGCTATTCTGAAGTCTTCACACAATTTTTCACCAAATTGTTGAATTGTAAGAGGTTATATACTTCTTCCGACAAGATTTTTTGGAGCAGGTATTGACACTTAAGCTCACCTGGCTATGGTGCCCTGTGATCCAAATGTCCATACCTGTAGGCACATACTGAATTTAAGCATCTACAGGGCTGGGCAGCACAGTTTGGTTCACTCTTTGGTGGCTAGAGCTCACAGGGCATTTCTAGATGCATAGAAGAGATAGTCTGAATGCTGCTCTGATGTGTGGAATTAGAGTTTCATTGCTAAGGCTGTGTATTGGACAGAGGTTACCACTGTGAACCATGTTTAAAGCATTATGGATAACAAAGGAATGAACGTAACTGATTCTGTGCTTTCTTGCCAAAATCTGTTGTATTTGATATCTTATTGATTCAGAAGATGCGTCTCCCTTTTACAGTTTTAGTTTCCTTACTTAAAGACGTCCAGTCCATTGCCCACAGATCTGTCTTTGTTCTTACTTTATAGCCTAATAATTCCCACTCCATAAAAAAAAAATATTTTCATTCAGCCACTTAGTATATCCAGGCTTCCAGCTAATTTACATTATGCCTTCTCAAGTTTTGGAAATGACAGTGCTTTTTCTTAAAAGACATATGCAAATGGTGGGTGTTAAGTAAATGCTTAAATTGTCAGTATTCAATTGTTTACCTTCAGCTACTCTCTAAAACTGTTGTTCCCCAAACTGCCAGAGTTTGAAAAACAAACTACCCTACAGAATTTGCAAGGAATGTAAGGCCAGTTGTCCAACTTTTCCTAACTAAGAGGAACAGAAAGAAAGAAGTTTCTGTGTTCTTGTTAAATAGATTTGGTCCCTTGTTCAAGGCATAAATTAGAACAAGGAAAAGGTTGCTTGGTTGGGTTTTTGTGTGGGTTTTTTTTTTTTCTATTCATTCAGTCTTTTTACCAAAACAGTGGAGTTAATGCAGCAAGAATGTTACAGATCTCATTTACCTGAAGTATGTCCAACTTTGTGACATCTTTCTTCCTCATCATCCCAATCTAGACAACTGAAAAAATTTCCAGTCCTGTTTAAAACAGGTCAAGGGCAATTCCAGGTTATGTCACCAGTTTAATGTGGAGAATGGGGCCCAGTAAGCCTTCACAGAGCACTGAATTCTGCATTGCTCCACCTTTCCACAGGGCTAGATCAAGTCATTTGTGCTTTGTGTCACTGGAAAACCTCTCGAAAATATCTGGCATCTGCCATATCTGAGTTTATATGTATATGTTAGATGCCTGTTTTTTTCTTATTCAGGAGTACTACCTTTATTCTTGGCCCCATTCAGTAAATTTTCAGTTGAAATGTTCTCTTGAATAGACTGTGAATTAGCTGTATATATAGTAATGGTGTTCGAAAAACACAGCTGCTCCAAGATTTTTGTGGAAGTAGAAAAAATGAATGCACACTATTATAAAATGCTGAAGTTACATTTTTTTTTAATAGTGCTGTTGGGTTTTTTTTTTTAGCAATCTCACTTGAGATTATTAACTTTAAACATCTTTCACATCTCACTTTTTTTAACCTGTTGTTCTCTTATAAGTGTGGTTTGTTCCTACACCTTTGTCACGAACTGTTTTTGTATTGTCGCTCCTTGTTTGACTTTTACTTTTTTTTTTTTTACTTCACATTTTATATTCCACAGAGCACTATTGTATCTTGATGAACAGTTTACATGTTCTAGTTTTAAGTCTTAATGCAGGAATAGAAAAATTTAACTAAGTAAAACATGTGTGCCTTATAAATACTATTTAAAAATAAACAGAATTTTACAACCTCTTAAGCTGTGCTAACTTGTCAAATTCAAGAGTCTTCTGTGTCTTTTTTTTTTGTTGTTGTTGTTCTTTCTGACAGCTTGTTACTTCATTGATTGAGTGTGGATTTTTTTTATATCTCATGAGATACCCACAGACATCAGGGATATGTGTGTTAGATTAACCTATTATTTTGAACACATAGTTAATATAGTTTATCCTTACATATGTCAGCAGTGTGTCTGATATACATTCTTACACCCCAGCCAACTTGCTTTAATGCTCAGCACACTGAAGACCTTGAGTAACTATAGCACAAGGGGCTGCGTTGTTGAATGGACTTAGCAAAAATCATAGACTCATCGAATGCTTTGGGTTGGAAGGGACCTTTAGAGGTCACCCAGCCCAACCCCCTGCAGTGAGCAGGGACAGCTTTAACCGGATCAGGGTGCTCAGAGCCCCCTCCAACCTGACCTGGAATGTTGCCAGGGGTGGGGCATCTACGACTTCTCTGGGCAACCTGTTCCAGTGCTTCACCACCCTCATTGTAAAAAATTTCTTTCTAATGTCTAGTCTAAATCTATTCTTCTTTAGTTTAAATCCGTTATTCCTTGTCCTGTCACAACAGGCCTTGCTAAAAAGATTCTCCCCATCTTTCCTGTAGGCCCCCTTTAAGTACTGGAAGGTCGCAATAAGGTCTCCCCGCAGCCTTCTCTTCTCCCGGCTGAACAGCCCCAACTCCCTCAGCCTGGCCTCATAGGAGAGGTGCTCCAGCCCTCGGATCATTTTGGTGGCCCTCCTCTGGACCTGCTCCAGCAGGTCCAAGTGATAAATATCAGCAAAGATATGTTAATATCTTTAACTCTGTGTTGATATCCATAACTGATATATTAATATCCAAGTGCCTAACGTTTATTACAGCTTTCTGTAATGATTTTTAAGAAAATATTGCGATTTGAAAAGGCAGTGAGAGATCTTTACTTCACATTTTTAAAGCTCAAGCTTTGGAAAAATACCCATCAGCAGTTGTAACTAACATAATACTTTTTGGAGGGTGGAGAGAGAAAGGCAGAGGGAGGGCTGAAAGTAAATAGGGCATCTGTTTCTTCAGTGGAAGTTAAATATTATTTCTTCATTTCATTAGTGTATGATGTCATTGTAATTATTATTCTTTTTCAACTTTGTAGACTTGCCACCCCCTCCTGTGCCACCTCCAGCTATAAAATCACCAACCGCCCAGTCCAAATCACAGCTGGAGGTGCGGCCGGTCATGTTGCCAAAACTTGCTTCTATAGAAGTGAGGACAGACAGATCTGCGGAAAGGAAAGGAGCGAGCTACAAGGGGAGGGATGGGGTGGATGGGCGACAGCATTCAGACGTGCGGACAAATTCGGGAGAGCGGAGAGAATCACAGGAACAGCAAAACGATGGGAAACTGCGAGGAAATAAAGCACCAAAACGAGAAGGCACACCAGCAAAAACTCATCTTCTTCAAGGTCATTCTGCATGCTTTTGTGTTGATCACAGGGAAGCGGCAGCTCTTTCCAGGTCTCTCACACTAATGGTGTGAGTGAAGTTAGGTCTGCTGAATTGTCACCATTTATTGTAATTATAGGTGCTAATACAGGTCATGTTGCAGGTTCTGGTTAGGGTAAAATGGAAACAAAAGCTTATGAAAAACATAGATTTTCTATCCTGCTTTCCTTATGCACCCATCATGTATTAAAGCTAATGCTGAGGAAGCCCAAACAGAAGTATTCCTTGAGAGCTGTAAGGATCAGTGTTCTTGCCCCTACCACACATTTATAGTCTAGTTATGTCCAATCTATCTAATTTACAAGGAACTGAGTGAAGTCAGATAGTAGATCTATAAGTCACATATTTAACTTTTCTACCAAAGAATTGGCACTTGGCCCATTTTTGTCTATTTGTAAACCTAGTCCTGTTTAAAAAATAAGAAAGCCATAGTAGTAATGCATTAGTTATAAATAGTGACATGGCATTATATGAATCAGACCTGATCAATGTAATCTCTTGTTTATGGAAGTTGTTAAGATTACTACTTAATGGAACACGATTAATGGAATTTCCAAGTGTTCACTAAGGCTTTCAACAAAGATTCATACAAATGTCTGGTCCTTTCTTCCTACAGGTATCCAGGGTCAATATCAGGGGTGACTGGGCAGTAAGTTGGTTAAATGGGCACATTAGTAGGAGATTGGTACTAATTATAGTGGATTACTATAGAGAAAAGTTATTAGAAGTTTACCTTAAGAGGATGGTGCTGAAATTTTAAAACATGCCCACTAATTTTGTTTCAAATTCAATCTGAGAAATACAGATGCAGTGAGCTCCTTGTGAGTATTGTGTATGTATTGTCATTTTCTCCTACTCAGTCATATCAAAAATACACTACAGGGGTTATTTTTTTTTTTCTTCATTTTCGTGTAGAACATAGAGCAGTGATCATAAATTGACATTAAGTGGACAGTAATCATGAATTAGTTTTTCTGTGGTGAACGTTACCACGTGAATACTATAAATTTCCTTGAGAAAGCTTCTATAATGTTATTATGGAAACAGCGTATTTCATATTCCTGTCAGGCATCATTTTAAACCTACTGAGGATCATAAAAAGTCAAATAAATCAACTGCATGCAGAAATTTAAGGATCACAGTATCTCTGGTCTTGTAAACATAACTATGTATATATTTAATTATACAGAGGACATCCTGCCATATTCTAGACCAACGTTTCCAACATCAAACAATCCTAGAGACCCCAGCTCCTCCAGCTCTATGTCATCAAGAGGATCAGGAGGTAGACAGAGGGCAGATCAAGCAAATATAGCCCGAAGGAATGTTGCAGAAATGCAAGTACTGGGAGCGTATGAACAAGAAGAGGAAGAAGAAGAGATGGAGGTAACTGCAGTTGTACTGCTGAAGATGACTAGAATAAGGCTGTTTTCTGTGCTTAGACAGGTGCCAAGAAAAAACACTTTTGAACCAGAAATATTTCTCTTCAGAAAAATTAGTACATTTATCAGTCTATTAATGCTATGCACAATCCAAGAAGTGAAACCTTAAGAATGTGTCAAAAACATAAGAAACAAGTAATATGTAGCACAGTGTAACTGTCACCACGCTAAAACCTGTGGAACAGAACTTGCAGAAACACAGTATTTAAATGTGCACTTTACATTATCCGGTTTCTTTCAGAAGTGAAAATAAAGCATTAGAGCATCTAAGAACACCCTCACAATGCCTTTCAGATTTTTTGGAAGTTTATCGTTCTAGATTTTGTAAGATATTAAGGCATGAACTTTTTTCTTCCTTTTTTTCCTGCCTAATAATATTAATTCAATTTAAATCCTGATTGTAGAAAGGGTGTGCAACATGCAGTCAGATTGCTGCACATAATTAAAAGTAGTAATTATTATTTAAAGGTAACAAATCTCTAAGAAGTATGTGAAGCAAACTTTAAATAACAAAATCTAACATGGAGTCATTTATGTCTTTTATTTTTCTTAATACAGGAAACAGAAAGCTGAAGACAACGACATGTACTGTAACAGGCTTTTAAAATCTAATCGAAAAAAAAAAATCACTTAAGATGCCTCAAGTCTGATGATGTTTGACGCCAGAAATAATGTTCAGTGCAATCAGAGTGTACAATTTTTCATTTTTCTTCATTCCATCAGAATGCTAGTTTTTATTTTACTCTTTCTTTGTAAACCCTCCTTATGAGGAACGGCCCTTGCCTATTCCAAACGCTAAGTGCCATCACCTTCGCTGCCCAAGAAGGCAGGTAAGCTGCTCTTTGTGGTACTTGGGCCAGCTGCTGCTTCAGGATTAGAACAGAAGGGGATTCCAGAGCCTGGGATCCCACGGTTTCTCCCCAGCGAGGCAGGCAGTACACTGCCAGTACACCAGTGAGCCGATCGATAACATTGCAACTAATACAGCATTGATTAAAAAGAACCCCAAAGTGAATATCATGCAGAATATTCTTCTATTCTAGGGGTTTCGCTGTTAGTGCAAATGGTATCTTGCAATTTCAATACAGACTGTGTGTCTTGTTTTCTGCCAGTCTCTTGCTAACCTTTTGCAGATGATACAGTTTTACAAATGCAAGTAAAATTAATTTGGGATGAGGTGGCTCTTATTGTAAATATGTACTCATTTTAAATCCCCTGTGTGGTACTTTGATTTGTCTTTCCATTTTCATCGTTAAGTACATTCTTATTAAAAATGTCCTTTGGGATAGGCAGGAGGTAAGCCAGTGTGATTGCTATTTGCCTAATCGTGGCATGAGCAAGTTCATCTGAAACTTTTTCTAATTTTCAGCTTCAACAATGCTTATGAAAATGAGCAGGAAAATCAATGGACATTTTTAATAATGATTGGGTAATACCATTAACTGTTACTGGCCCAAATCTCAGACCTCTACTTGTGTCAATTCACCTTAAAGAAGAAGTGCCACTTAAAGAAGTTTTGTTTGATCTTGGCGATTAATTTTTTTGTAATGCACTGCTTATCTTTTTTTTTTTTTTTTTTTGGTTTTAAAAGCACAATCACTAAACTTTGTTTGTAAACCATTGTAACTATTAACCTTTTTTTGTCTTATTGAAAATGTTAAGCATTCGTTTGGGATATTTTTCATCTTTTTGTTAATGCTCTATGTTTGTATTTGGAATATTTGAATGATGACAGACGGTAAAGTAACAAACGTAAATGTGGGCCATAATCAAAACACTTCTCACTCTTCCTGGACTTATAGAAAATTACCAATTTTGCTGTGGCCTCTCTCAACATTGGATTATCATTAAAGCTGAAGTAGAGGCATTAGTTGCATTGAATTTGCCAAATGATGTCCTCTGTCTGTAGATTTATAATCTTTTTTGTAATTATAAAATTTCTTTGTCATTGGTGCTAATGGAAGAACGTGTGTTTGTTTATTGACAGCTATCAGGACTAGCCCCAATGAAAAAAAAAAAAAAAAAGAAGAAAAAAAAAAGTGGTTTGGTGTTTACCGAGGACTGAAATTTTTCATTTAGCTAATTTTTAAAGAAAGGTTCCATAGAAAGGGTGTGCAGTACTAAAGGAACAATCCGTGTGATTAATGTTTTCATTATGTTCATGTAAGAAACCTCATATTTTAGCCATAATTTTGCATACTGAGGATCCAGTAATCAGAAAAGTAATTTTTGTCACATTATTTATTAAAAATGTTCTCAAATACAATATCTTTCTTGCGTAGTTTCTTGTGTTCCCTGAAACGTAATTTTAGGGCCATCTCTGATCTTATTGTCAAGAGTCAGAATCCATTCCACTGAAATCATGCAGTTACAGTAGCACGAGCAAAGTGGGAGAGCTGGATGCAGCCTAAGATTTTACATAATTACAATTGATTGCCTTAAAGATCTGATTTCTGGGTGCTTCATGAACTGTGATAACGAAAACATCTCTTAGCCTGCCAATTTCCAGAGAGAGCTGATGAAGAAAATCTGTACCAACAAAAGCATTCACCTCAGGGGTGAGATACATTTGCTGCAAAGGGAAGAAGATCCAAATATGTGAAGGGAATGAGTATTATGAGTCATATGTTTGTTGGGGCCTGCACAAATACAAGTTGGTTTTAAGTGCCTGCTGTCCTCCTGCACTTCAGCCATTCTGTGGTCGGCAGGGTCCTGCTGTGGCTCACAATCAAGTAGGTGGTGGTCCCTTTTCCGCTCTTGCGTTTTCATAACCCTGTACTCTTACCAATCACCCCATTCTTGCCCTTCCTTACCCTACACCCATCATCCCAGTTAAAAAAGGGAGAAAAAAGATAGCCAGCACATTCCATTATCTTTTATTCAACAGAACCTTTTTGCTCCTCGTCTTTGACTGCCATACTTCTCCTTTCCCAAGAGCTTTAAACAGCCTGGAGCCAGATGCGAAGGTGCTGCAGTGTACTACAGCACCAAGTATCTTGCCACAGAAGAGTACTAGAGCCTTGACGACTTAATCGGGCATAAGCCTCAAGTATATTGTTTTTTTCATAATTGTAGATTTGAAGCAGATACGAAGACAGTAAAATAAGTTAAATATGTTACCTTTCTATGTTGCTGGGGGGGGGGGGGGGGGGGTCTTTGGTTATTTGCCTCTCCCACAGGGGGGGGGGGGGGGTGTGTCTTTTGGGTGTCTTCAGCTCTCGTGCCTGAGTTCAGACTGGCATATGTTAGAACCACTGACATAATCCAGACAGGAACCCGTAGACCAGACTGTGCCACAGGAAACGTCCATCTGGTCTGCACCTTTCCTTTGGAGGAGGCAGGAGGGGTTGATCTGATGGGCACAGACTGCTTCAGCAGCTGATTGTCTTTCCTGGCACTGGGAACATCCTCATGGTTTGGGACCAGGCCGTTGCCATAGCAGGGTGTGAGGAACGAGGTGGAGCTTGAGGCAGGGTCCCTGAGCATGTCAGCCACTTGGCACAAAAGCTTAAGCCGCTGCCAAAGGTGTAGTGGTGCATCACAAAACTAGGATCTAGTTGCTGTAAGGTATATCTGTCCGGAAACACTGGTGCTGCGTACCTGCAATACTCTCTTCCTTCTTTACTGGCACGGTGACATACTGGAAACCACACATTGGATCCCCAGCTGATGTCCGTGTCCATCTGCGTAGCTTCACTAGAAGTCAGACTCCAGCTGAAGTTCTGACCTCAGACAGTGGTAAGTGGGAAATCTTGCCCAATTATTTTTTTTATTCAGTTATAAATTTGTTTGATGGTGTTCCCTAAGAAGTTACTTGGATTGTTTTGTGATTGTATTCAGTTGTGATTAGTAGTATCTTGAGACAGTGCATCACAGAGTTGTCACGGAGTTCTTGCACCCACACTGGGTCCTCAGTGCATTGTGGTCTCACCAAAACCACTGTAATGAAGATAAAAAATACAACAGTTTGGTTTTAAAATTATAACTCCTATTCATCAGTATTGATACACACTTGACTTGGTCTTTGGTCTTTGGCACTCAGGTACAGTAAAAATAGGTCATTTATGCACTGCTACTTAAAAAATTATTAATTGGTTGGAAAGCCAACGTAACAGAAGAAAGTAGCGTTCGGAGGTTTTGATTACACTGTATACCTGAAGAAAACAAGCATTGTATTAGAAAATCCATAGCATTTGTGTGATGAGTTAAAATAACGGAGGTAAAAGTTTGATTTTTCTTGTAGCATGGCCTGGAAATCCTGTATAAGTTACTGTTAAATTTGACTTTATTTAAAGTAAAATATTTGTTGGGATACCATGAAAGATGTCTACAAAAATCAGAATTATAAAATTTTAGAAAATGCCTTGCACATGTTTTAGCATTATATATCCATTATTTTCCAAAGAATACTTATTTTGAAGCATGCTCTTTACACGTGTATACAATTTGTATTTGCTGAGATTAAGGTTGGGAACTGAGAGTCTGTTCTGAACACTCAGCTGAAAGGCGAACATGTTTATGGGTGTTTGAGGTTTACCCACACATGAGTAACTCCCAGTGTTCCCATGGATGTCATCCTCACTGGACATGTCCTCAACATCTTCATTTTGTATTGAACTAACTGAAAATTTCAGAATTCAAATCACAAAATGAATCTTTCAAATTGACAGCAACTGTGGATCTCAGTGTGAACTGTTTATTCAGGTTTGATTTTCTTTACTTTTTTTCATTGTATATGATGCTTTTTCTGTTGCCTAAATACGTTCGTCACAAAAGCCAGTGTGCTAGTGTGCTGTCTATGACAGTGAAACAACTGAAAATTAGGAACATTATTTCTTAAATTATTCCTTTCTTTTTATCAAGCCACTGAATTGTGGATCACAGAAACAGTCAAAGATTTGAGATGACACCATGGAAATGAGGATCCCCTTTACATTTATGTCCATATTGAGGATGGCAAAAAATTCCATCCCATTCAGAAAGGGGAAAAGGAATTGGTGAAACTGGAATCCAGTCTCTACGAAAGCCATAAAGCGGGAAGGCAGGCTGGAGAAGGGGAATCAAGGGATATAAAGAGAAAAAAAAACTCAAGGAGCTGAGGAACCCAAGTCTTATTGAAGCTAATGGCAAAAATCCTGTTGAATTGAACTGTCCTGGAAGTGAATTACCTCCTTATGGACTGGCAAACAATAGCCATCACAATGCAATGAACACTAGAAGAAGAGTGAAATCCTTGCCGCATGCTTGTTTTGGTCTGTGTCCTTGCTAAATATACACAAAATTGGCTCATTTTAAGCTGCCAGAAGAGGAAAGTGGGGGTTTAATTCGCTGTGGCATTCAGCTTTCTTGTCACATGAGATGATGAGGATGGGACACTACTCGGCTCTAGTCTCTGTATGTGGCATGAAGTGGAGCCAGTTGCTTTTCAGGCTTTTTTGGAGTTTGACAATGAAAGCCATGATGATAAAAATTGTGTTTATTGATTTTTTTTTTTCAGGCCTAAGATATTTTTAGCAGGAGTAATAATAGGAAATATAGAATAAAACTACTTAGTATCGACTTTTATTCTGTGGCTTCCCACTGGTCTTTAAAGCACAGGTGTTGGTTCAAAGTCGGCAACAAGGGATAACAGTAAAGGAGCCCTTATGCGCTTTGATGCATAGAAGGACAAAAGCAAAACAAAAAAAAAAAAACCCAAAACTAAACTCCCCCTCTTTCAGCAAATGGTAACTAATAGGGTATTCCTAAAGCATTTGGATAGCATGAAAATAATGGCCAAGAACCTTTATTTCTGCAACGTTAATTGCCACAGAATCAAAGATTTAATTATATTCCTGAACAAGATGCTTGCAAAAGAAATTGCGCTCTACTGAGCTGAGTACAGAGTAATGCAGTTTCTCATACCTAGTAAAAGCCTGAAGAAAGTGGAGCTGAGAATTAGGTCTTGCCACAATCATCTCAGTGGCGTGCCAAGTCTGTATCCCACTGCTCACCCACTTTACTAATACAAGTTAAGATAGGAACAAAATGTTAGTTTCCATAGCCATCATTAACGGATATTACAAAGGTGGCAGCATTCAATGGCTTAGACAGCTTAAAATTCAAAAGCTGTCATAATCCTGAAGTCTTTATTTCTTGGATAGTCATTCCCGAAATGCAAGATGCTAATGGAGTCCGGTCTTACAGGAAACGGAATCTATTTAGGCAGATGTAAACAATATGTGAGTGCCAAATGGCACTCTCTCTCTATATATATATCCTGTCCTTAAGCTAACCTCATTCTTATGTGATCCATTTTGGAGGGACATGGATATTATTATGCTGCTGCTACTGTAGGGTGAATGCTTCAGAAGGACTTCACAAGGAGTCACCATCAGCTTTATGCGTACAAGGTGTAAAGGAAAAGAACGTACATTTGTTTATCAACCTAAAATCTGCTCCCCTTCTATGCTTGCAGTATGACAGTCTTTTCACTTGCATTCTACCTTTTGTCCTACAAAACCTGTTTCATAGAGCGCCTCAGGATGAAGATAACTGTCTGGTTTGCTAAAACCTTTTCTGTTTGTTGAGCACTTCCCTGTCTTTGGTGAGTATTTTGCAAATGCTTCTCATCAGGGAGAACTTTTAATTCATTCCTTAAAACTCTGCACAGGACTATGATACCAAAACCATATTCATTGGCAACCTAATCCTTGAGAGCTCTCTTTGGCTAGTTATAATAGAGGCAGGCAGTAAATCCGGAGCGCACGCTACTAACACGCTCTCCTGCCTACATGTTAGGCAGCTGTTCATGCTATTACAGCCTCTTACGTAGGCACCCTCATCGCATTCCTGTGAGACGGGCGGTGTTTTTTTTCCCAGCAACACAGAATTCAAGCTGAAACATAGCTTCTTGTAGCATTTCTGAGAATTTAGCAAAATCACAAAGACTAGCACAGTGCTGACGTTCAGTTTCTGAAGCCTTGCAATGTTTTCCTTCATTCCACGGTAATAAATGCAACAAATACAA